CCCACTATCGATAGCTTTACAGTTTTTAAGAAATAACTTCTTCATAAATGACATGGCTAATGTCCGTCACTTGGAAGCTAGTTGTACTTCCCTCTTAGGGAAATGAGGGAGGCGGTGCAGAGGGAAATTGGTAGTTATTAACAAATGGGTACATTGGTGTAAAGCTGGTATCACCCAGCGTCTTTTTATCGCCCTCGTCATCAATTGACGCTCCACCGCTCACACACTCTGCGTACGAAGGAGGAGCTGAAATCAAAAACAACAAATGTTTCATAAGCAAAATCTTATGTCGAAGAGTTCTGGAGCCAGTTTTTTTCTTTCTTTTTATAAATTGACCCCCGCGAAACCGGGTCCAAGCTTTTCTTCCCCTTGGGCAATTTATCGGCGTGTAACCGAAAACATGAAAGTGATCAGATCCCAGAGCGAGCCCAATCCGTTTTGGGGAAAAGGTCTAGCGTAACCACTCCCTAACGGATAGCCATAATTTTTGTGGGGCTGGGTGGGTTGGATTAATTTGGAAATACTACGGTAGTCACGATACAAAATGTTTCTTACCAATATTTGGATAATTCTGTGCAGGGTCACCATACTGTGCAGCGGCTGGTGGATACGCTGATGCTGCGTCAAATCCGGCCATTGGTGGGGCGCTAGGAGTCAAAGCAGCACCTGGGGGTGGGTATTGGGCTGGAAGGCGCGGCCGATATGGAACTGAGCCAATTGTGATTGGAATGTATAATGTTGAGTTGGAGGCACCCTTCACTCTAACTTTCAGCTGTCGAGAGGTGGCAAGAAAACTAAATAAGCAACGAAATAGAACTGACCTACAACTGTTGGCTTTTAACTCGATTTTATATCAACTCTGCACACTCCCCATTACATATCTGTGAAAGACAAGGAGAATAATTTTCTATTGGCCATTCCAACTCAGCTTATTTGTAACATCTTCAGGATTCGTTTGCTAATGAATGAAACAAACCTCGGCACTTAAAGGCGTAATTGCTCCTTGCTAGCTGAGGTTTCAAGGCAAAAGAAAAATGAAAGGATGAAGGAGAGAGGACTATCTTATTTCTCTCTTTTTTTCCACCATGTGAGGTCTCTGCTAACAGGAAAAAATGTAGTTTGAGTAACAGGTCGCCCTATGTAAGGGTATCTAGGACAGTCTTGAATTCTGGATTCCACGCCGTGGATCCGGATTCCAGGTGCTGGTTCCAATACTTGTCAGTAGAACTTGGATTCTGGATTCCAATCGTTATTGGGATGCTGGATTCCTTGAGCTGGATTCTGGATTCCATAAGAAAAATTTTACCAGATTCTGGAACAAGGATTCCCTTACATGGCGCAAGACAGCAGTTCTTAGCTGTACTAAAAACATTCCATCACCAGATGAATTCACCCCAAATGTCATTCAAACCAGAACAACTACGGTAGGTTTGACTTAAGGGAAAATGTTGGCAAGGCAGCAAATGACAGTCATCAAAAACAAATTCAGCAAAATGGACAGAAAATGGGTAAATTACCCGTAGAAAATATGATATCTTTATGCAACTGCAACTCGTCATGGTTGGGGGTAGAGAGGGGACTGGAAGTGGTACCATTGGCATCCGAGTCTCTTCCCCAGGCTTCACTCGTTCTTGAACATGAATTGATGCAACCTTATCATCCCAGAGTTTTTGTTCTCCTAGAAATGAATGAAATTGATGATGGTGATGATGAAGATAAAAATCATGGGAGTAACTGCAGCCACTTTTAACCTATACCCCTAAAACAGTGGCTACGTGGCTATGGGACGCATGGTTTGTTTTTATTTTGTGGTTTGCAAAGTAAGAGTTACAGCAGAGTGAAAGCTCTCTCACGGCTAAGTGGCTATGTAGCCATGTAGCCACAAGCCACTGTTTTAGGGGTATTGCTTCAAAGTAGCTGGGTGTTTGACAGTTCAGCCAAATCGAAGTATGATTTCAACTCCATCAAATACAAATATAAACAGGCAGCCTTTCAGGAATTTTTTTCTTCTCCAACTAGAGGTTAAGCTTTCTTGTGTATTAAGGATTTGATCAATATGCTTATATGCAAGGTCCCTACACTTAAGTGTTATCACTCATTATAATCCACCCTGACCTGACAAATAGTATCATGTGAATCGAAAGTCATCTGCCAAAAGTTTCAATTTTAATGGTCACACCACAGGTACCCCAAGCTTATTATGAGAGCCCTGAACAACATTATCCTACCAGCCTGCAAAGAAAGTCGTGTCTGATAGCCCGGGGCTAGTGGATTTTGCTATTCGGCTAGTGATTTTTGTTCTTAACTTGCCCGACAAGCAAGTGCAGTTTTGGGGGGAAATTCAAATTGCAGAAGCCAATCAAAAGGCAATCAAAACGCAATCAAAAAGGGTTTTGGGGCTAGTTGAAATGGCTTATGGGATACTACATGTTAGCTACAGCTTGTCCAAATGGCAGGCTGAAAAACTGACTTTTTTGCCCCCTGCATACTTTGCTAATTAATTATTCATAGGACAACAGTTATAAGACGTTGCATGAAAATTATCTGATTTCTCCATAATTGAGCGAAACGTACATTAAATTTTTCCTTTTAGTATTTTGTTACATTTCTTTGTGTGTTGACTGCATTTCAGGCCTCTTAGGATGCCAAGAACCCGAAAACAACACTATCCATCAAGCTAATTAATTATTCATACTGCAAGAAAATTATAAGACATTGTAGGGAGAAATATTCTTTGCTCACTAAATTAGCAAAATGTACATTGAATATCCCTTTAAAGCTCACCTTTAACGTCTAATTGCTTTTCTTGTATTCTGGTCCTGCATTTCAGACCTCCTAGGCACTGTTTAATGCCCTTTCTTGAGGGACAGTTTTTCACCCAGATGACAGTAGAGAGAAGAGAAGAGAAGGTTGGCAAACCTCTCTTGACCGGCTCCGCTCTTGGCGGCGATAAATTCCATAACATTTGCGACATGGAGACAATTCTACCAGAAGAAGATGTCCGGATAAATAACGCACATTTTCCATCATTCACATCGCCAAAATTCCCATTTTGAAGGTCCTAAATCACCAACGAAGTGGACAATACACGGCTGAGGCTAGGCGAGTCGAGAGTAGACCCGCAACGGACTCCAACCCTCAAGTCAACAATGTCAAACCGACGCGGGCTGGCAGGGTCAAACCAGCCCAATAATCTCATTTTTTAAATTATTATTAATGACTGCCGAGACACCAATAGATTCTCCTGGAAAGTAACCTCCTCTGTCGGTATAGACAATAGTACTGAGTGGACCAGATACACAGCACAGGCATCCCACATTGCGATCCTCCTGGATCTGACAAGGTTGCTGAGGAAATAAGAGTTGGAAATATGTAATGGTCATATTAGACTTGACTCAAGTCACTTTAGCCCTATCTAAGGCTTAGTATACTAAAAAACTGCTACTATAACCTGGGTTGGAAACTAAAATTTTGGAGCACTCGCCCAGATCAGTTTTCACAAAACCAGACTTCTACCATAAAATATAGCCCCCTCTTCACTGCATGGAAGTTCACTCACCATGCCCTGAAACAAACCTTATTTAAATAAAGGAAAAGGAAATAACAAAAGACTCAATCAAAGTGTCGAAATTATACACTAAAAGCGGCTGCAAGATAGAGCCATTGGATTGATTAAGAGTCATATTTACGCCAAACAGCAAACGTGAGTTTGTACTGCGTGACCAAGTTTTCCCACTTATGACCAGGTTTGCATGCAGCAGCAAAAATTGTAATTTTTCGTGCACTTGAATTTAGTAATTTTAGCAAAAATTACAATTTCTCCAATTTTTCACAATTTTTGCTGCTGTGTGCAAGCTTGGACATACCTCAGTTTTCTTCTTAATTGTCGTTTACTGTTTATTACTTCTAACTCAAAAATACATAGTTTCATGCCAGTTTTATTCATAAGAATTGTTCTGGATAGTTTTTATCTGATTATTTTCTTTTCTGAAAAATTCTCAACTTCAATCTGAAATCTGCCACTTGCCGCTTGCCGCAAACGTGACTCTTAATGGAGAGTTTAAGCTTCACGTATACCGCAAACAGCAAACGTCAGATTCAAGTTGAAAATTGCTCACAATAGAAAATGAGTGGAAAGTGAAAAGTGACGTTAATTTTGAATAAGTATATTGTGCTAGTATGAAAACCATACTCGCCATTGAACTGGGCGAGCGATCCTTGATTTGTACTTGCCCAACCATTTCGGAACTTGCCTGGGCGAGAGGGCGAGCGCCAATGTCCAACCTTGTATAGGGGGCACTAAGGGAGTTTACTTTGCCAGTTTTTGCAATCACATGATGTTAATACTCTGTTCATTTAATATACTTTTATTGTCTACTGAATGCAAACATGTTGCCATTATAATGATCAACAATACTTCTATTTTTCAAAACCAATGTCTATTCCAAATCACATTTATTAAAATTAAGTCTACCAAAATATGTCTCTGCCAGTTTTCCAAGGTCCTGTTAAAAAGGTTATGAATAACTTGGTAATTAATATTTTCAGATTTCCTCTCTCTGTATCTTCTGATAGAGGAAAAAAGCTTTGTAAAAGTAAGCACCGTTACGTTGTATTTCCCTTGTAAAAATTTATTTTGAAGTAATGTAAAGCGCTTAGAACTGAAAAGTATAAGCGCTATATAAATATTTTATTATATTTTTAAAAATATTTTATTATAATCGTACCGCAATCTTGGCGTAATCGCTGTCAAAATCCTGTAGTATTTTTGGCTGGATTTCATGGCACGATCGCAGCGTTTATATTCGCGGTGTGATGGGAGTGATCGCTGCCATCAATCGCTTGCCGTCTTTGGCTGGATATTGCGGTGCGATAAGAGTGATCGCGCTGTAATCGCTGTCATCAATCGCACTCAACAGTGACCAATTTATATAACTGGTATCACACTTTACTGCATGATTTGCTAGGGAAAGGTCATGATGTTAGTAAAAACTTACTAAAAGCAGAGGTGTATTGATGTCCACATATTCCAACATAGTAAAAGCTGCTTTGGTAGTGATATCAAATCTCCATGGACGGTCAACAATTCCTTTTAACCAGTAGCGAACATGAGGTTGGCATGATAATAATATTTGGGATTAGAAACTGAAATGGATAGGAGTAATCACCAGGCTGGAGAACTGAGTCATCCCCACTCTGACCTGGAGCTGTCAATCAAAGTAGATAGATATAGTACAGCTCAGAGATAAGCAACCGACGAATACGCAAAACACACGCACGTTTTCTGCGTTAACACAAAATCGTTAACTAGTTTGAAAGCGCGTTTTTCAAACTAGCTTTCGCTTTTGTTATGCACTGTTTAATGCTTCACTGTTTTCGCTTTGTTTTCCCTACCCCGGGTAACTATGTGTCAAAAACAGATATAAAATTGAGAACAAGCTTAGCCTATCGAGAATCGAGTCAAGGATCAAGTTTCTCAAGACAGAAAACAAAAGATTCACCCAATACTGATTTCTGGGTAATTTTATATAGACATACAGCTTTAACACAACACAGCATGGTTTATTCGCACAAGCGACTGTATGCTCGAAACAAGACCAGTTAAAGTTATAAAGCAAATGTTTCTTCAAGGACATCTAATCAAGCTTCATTTCTTTAAGTACGGTTTCAAATGCCGACTCCAAATGCAAACAAACAGTGTATATATAACATCATGTCTATTTTGTAACGTCAAACCTGCCCATCAGCGGTAACAAACACGTCTGACCGTAACATGACTAATCTTTGGCTCTGAAATTGCGTTCGCAATCCTTGAAAACTTTCAAGAATCAATGCCTTTTATTCTACTAGGAAATATAGCAAGTTCTTTAAAGTTCGAGTTAATCTCTCGTAAAATTGGGCTTGTTTTTTTTTCGCAATGGAACTTGATACGCGTGAACTTTTTCATTGCCTAGCATGTGCAGGTACAGTTGGGTAGGTGGGTATTAATGGTAGGAAAAGCTTTTAATAGAGGATTTTCAAACTGACCCCCCAATTCATCCTAGCTTTTTAGAAATGAACCCCCTAAATCTTATGTATTGTGAAAGTGACCCCCCCCCCCCACACCACTCTACCACGTAACACTCAACCCACACATC